TTAAATTTATATCTTACATGTTTGATTTTTCTGATTTAACAGAAATGATTTTATCTGTGACATTGTAAGGTTGTGACAAGGAGCAGCATTTTTAAAACTTGCACCAGGGATAATGATTTCAGAGAGATTCTTAACCACTTGAGAAATGTCTGGTCTCAAATCTCAACAATCTGTTAAAATATATTCTTCATAATTTTAAAAATTATTATTATTTATATAATATGAATGAAATCTTTTAATTTTTACCAGTATATATTTCTTTGTATTTGGAAGGTGTTCCAGATATAACCATTACCCTTTTGCCTTTCAAAAAGTTTAATAAATCAACATTTTATAAGGATTCCATTAAAAAAGGAGAAAATTCACGGAACTTGATATTGAATTGGAACGGATTCAGATATGCAACTAACTATCTTAAAATTTTTAATTTAGTGCCCCATTATGAACATGATATATTTCAAAGGTCCAATTAATTAATTTTATAAAAATAATTGTGGCATTAAATAATAACATTTGATCAAATAATAAATAATTTTCCATAGTTAATTTCATTCGAATGCAATGCATCATAATTAAAATTAATGGTTATTCTTATTCTATATAGAAATTCAAATATTTACCATGCTTAGTAATTTCATACAACTTGAGAATTATATTGTGAATTTCCAATTTTCGTTGACTTTTAACCTTGTTATATTAAAATATAAAAATATTACGAGAAAATTCAATAACAGAAAAAATATTTAAATCTGACTTACTTCATTTATTAAATTGTCCAGTGTAAATTCATCATTCAAAGAAATACATTTATGAACAATCTAAAAGTGCTTTATAAACATTTCCACTAATCAAATTCACATTTTCAAATTTGCGACATTGATTAAATGGGTTTTTTCTTATTTGAATAGCATCTTTAATAATCAAAATGTCCACCAAAGATTCCCATTCTTTTTCAATTATCTTTTTTGTGGCGTTATTAATCATTGAAATCATGAATGTTCTATAAGTCACACCAAATAAAATAATCCTTTATAACTAAATTAAAGATATTCTAATAAAATAAATCCAATTATATGTTTATTTTTGAAAAATGAGTTTTCGCTTTAAAACGGTTTATAGAGATAGAGAATAATCTGTATAAAGAGTAAGATTCAATTAGTAATAATTTGAGTTTGAAAATGCACATGCACAAATCATAACTTGATTAATAATCAAATTTAAATTACTGATCTCATAATAAAATCTATTAAAATCAACAATAAGATTTGTTCTGTGATATTATTTTCTTATTTCTTGGACAAAAGAAATATGGCAACTAAAATTTCCACGGAAATATTAATTAAAATTTTAAAAGATGTTCAACCATCCTTTCAACTCAAGATTTATTTTCATCATCATTAGTTAATCGATTCTGGTGTGAAGTTACTGTACCTATACTTTGGGGATTACCTTTTTGTCAAACAGAATATACAAATAATTCTAGGTTGGAAAAGAAAGCATTATGTATTCGAACTTATATATCTTGTTTGGATGTTCAAGCTAGAACTTTACTTTCTCAAAATGGATTTGATTTATCATCATCACCACCTCAAGCCACTTTTGATTATCCATCATTCACTCATAAATTTATAATTAATAATTTAGTTAATTACATTTACATATATTCACACCAAATTGATGATCTATATGATTATTATGATAGAATGTCCATCCCAAAATCGAAAATATTATTTTCTGAGATATGTAAATTAATAATAAATCGGTGCGCATTTTTGGATGAATTTAAATTGGTAGAAGTTCCCAAAAAATTTTTTGAAAAATTTCGTAATTATAGTGATTTAATTGGTTCAATTCTCCATTTACCTGGTGCACGAGAAGTATTTAAGAGTTTAGAAAGTTTCACTTCGATAATAAGAAATTATGAAAATTATGATCTGATTTATCCATTATATGGACTATTAAAATTCATTTGCAATAATATTTTAAATATGGATTTATCTTTAGTATCAATTCCTCAAGCACAATTATTAAAAGAACTTATTAGTGTTCAAAAACGTTTAGAAAATCTATCAATTGTAATTGTTGATGTTAGTCTTTTTCAATTTCAACTACCTAATTTATTTTGGGTAATCGTTAGTAAAAATCAAACATTAAAGAGTCTTCATTTAAAATCAGTATTATTTGATTTTGAGAGGGAATCATTAGAAATTGTAACTGGACAATTTATTTTACTTCAAGAACTCTACATTGATGATTGTTATGGTTTAGATAATTTCCAATGTCTATCATTGGCTTCATCATTTACTCAATTAACAATTTTCCATTATATTCATTCACACAAAAATTATGCTCAATCATTTATTATAAAAATTCTTGAAATGGCTAACACAAATTTAAGAAATATTTATTTAAAATTGCAAACCATAATTTCAAAAGATATATTATCAGCAATTTTCAATTTTTCAACAAAGGTTATCAAATTAACTTTATATAATTTGCGTCCTAAATACATAAAAGAAATATTTAATAATAATTTTAATGAATTAAGAATATTTTCATTTAAACAAGAACATATTCAATTGAAGGGAAAAATTATTATGCAGATAAATTATTAAAACAAATGGCTAGAAATTTACCACATTCACTTGAAACTATTATGATTAAAATAGATCATAAAGATCCATGGGAATTTAGTGCTGATAGTTTAAGGAAGCTTTTTGAAGAATTATATTATAATGAAAGGGGAGGAAATAAAAAGATTATTATAAAATGTGAAGAAGGAGCACTTATATTAAGTAATGATCATTATGAAGTTCTTGAAGAATATGAAAATTGTGGAGTGGAGTTCAATTTGATATGGATCTAGAATAATTTAACATTTCATATTAGCTTAAATTTTTAAATTTTAAATTCATGATTTATTGTTAATTACATTAAATAAAATAAATAAAATATTATTTGAAATAGTATTTTAAAATACTAACAATTATTTTAATAATATGGAGTATTTGCATGATATCAACAGAACATAAATAGTTAACTAATTTGTTTATATTTGAATTAAAGGGATCATCTGGAACAACAGAAACAGATAGATCTAAATCTTTTAAAACATATAAATCATGGGAGAATATAAATATAATCATGAATTACATTTAATTTCAAAAAAAAGTTATTTTATGATACAAATAATTGATGAATTGCTTGTTAGTAGAAAAATATAAAGTCAAATAACCTTGTTGCTAAAGTGAAGTATTTTGTTGTAATTAAATTTTATTAATCTCCATGAATAATTAAATAAAATATAATTATCTAATTAATATTTCTTTCATTTTTTTTCTTCTGTAATATTAATGATATGTGTTTACCCCTTCTTAATAATTCATGTCTAAAACATTAATATTACCTTTAATTATTTCATAATCAACAATTGAGAAATTATCTGTTCTAATATAGGTTTTCTATTATCTACATTAAGTAAAATTAGAATCAGAACTATACATAAAACATAGAAAGATCATATCCAAAATATAGACCACAATTTACTTTACAACTTTTGTCAATATTTAAATTAACGTTTATTCTGCTAATATTAAATCCGATATATTATCATTTTACAATGAGAAAATAAAGCCCCATAACCAGTATTAGCATTCAAAACTAAGGATCGTATCCTCCGAGTATTTCATTGTTACTTTAACTTTTATAATCACAACAGTAAATTACTAATATGACATGTATCACAAAATGTTTGAGGTGCAAATACACTTTAAATTAACTGAAATTCTTATGGGGAGTCTATTAAAGAATAAGTGCTCAATTTTTATGATCAATTCAAGAGGAAATTTCAGCTATATTTATATAAGTAATAATGACGGAAAGTTGTTTCGTTTGTTCTTTCGTACAGGTAAGAAATTCTTGAACAACAATTGTTCTTGATGGTAAAATTAATGATCTTACTGATTCCATAAATCGCTGATTCAAGTTGTTTATCAAGAATTTCTCATAAGATTTACTATTTTCCAAACAACAGTACTAAAAATATGGAAAATCATTCTTCGAGTTCTCAGGTAAAATGAAACCCTGAACAATTCCCCGCTAAATAATATATTCCTAAACTTTGATCTTCTATTTGCAGTAATAAAGTTAAAAAAATTTTGAAGAAATTTCCACTAAAAATTGTACTATAAAATTTGACTTCAATCAAGAACTTTAGTTTCAATAAGAAGACTTCCCAGCTCCTGGTTAATTCTTTATTAGCTGTCACCATTAAATCCAAATTAAACCTTGTTCAGCATTCTCTAAATTAACAAGTCCTCCATAAAGATATCTTTATTGATATAAATACATAAATATCAATTATCAAAGTTAATTTATGTAACTTTTATATAGCATTTTTATTATTAAATAGTAATGCAATAATTTTACTTAAGAATCATATCAAAATTTTCATCAAGAATATTTGGTTTATTAATTGCCTTGAAATTGTTTTCAATCGGATTTAAATAGAATCCATAAAAATCCATAGAACATTCCTATTGTTGAATTAAGATAAAGTTCATAAATATCATGTTCAAGTAATAATCAACATCTAAAAATAGGGAAAAAATTAAAGAATTTAATCATAAGGGTCGGTCGGTATCTAATTTTTGATGGATAATTTATAATTCATTCTTTGGTTAATAAATTAAGATTTAAATTCATCACTTGTATAATAATAAAATAATTCTATTTTGATCTACTCTCTTATGCAGACAGATTAACAACTTTAATACTAAGTGGAAATCGCGAACTTTAATACATAATATAAAATGAAATTATTTATTAAACACGAGTTGATTATAATCATTTTTTAATGGAATATTTGTTTTCAGATCATTTTGTTATTGAATTATGTTTAGCCACAATTAATTTAATCTTTTGTTTTTAATCACAATCCCATTCATTAATTATTGCTCTACATAAAAATTAAATTGGATCAGTATCATTATTACTTCCCAGTGTCATACTGACTACAAAAAGATTTTACCTCCAAGATGCAACGTTAAGAATTCCGCGTGATTTAGACCCCATTATCTCCATAAATCTGACATCTCCGATCGATCTAATCAAATAAGTTAAGATTAATATATTGAAAAAAAAATAAACAATATAATGATTCTAAAATAACAACAATTTTTCTAACATTTTTCAATAATTAAGGATAGTATCAATAATTTCACAAAATCATTAATCACCCAAATTCCCATAGCAATCATCATCTCGGTTGTTTTTTTTTCATATAATTATCCATTAATTCATGAATCGTTGAGATTTAGATTCATATTGAAGTTACTTGTTTATACTATTTAGAATAATAAAAAGTCTTGATAAAATTCAAATAGATTTTTAGTGTGACTGTGACCTATATAGAAAAATCAAATATATTAGAAATAAATATATAAAAATATTTATAACAAGAATAAATATATTAAATAATTGTATTAGAAAAATTTATTAATATCTTACTTGCAAGATACTTTTGAATCACGATATATTAACTAATGTGTAAATTTTTGTAGTATTTATCAATGGATCCTAGAAAAATAAATATAATAAATAAAATTTAAATAAATAATAATTTAAAAAAAACCGAATTTAAATAAATAATATAATTAATAAATTACTTCGTCCTTCTCTTTCAACCGATAAATAACCACGCTCAAATCTGGTTCCAAGACCCTTTTTTATCGACAAGTGTCCTTTTTTAAATTAATAACATGTTAATAATCATTACGATAATTTATAGAATATTTTAATTAAACTTACTAGATTTCATCGACAACAATCTCCTCTTTCTTTTATTGATAGCTCTGTTGCACGGTTTGGAGAGTTGCAGAGTTTTAATGACGAAAATAGTTTAACAGACTAAACTCTGGTTTGAATTCTTTATCATGTCACTTCATAATAAATTAATAAATTAATAAAATAATAAATTTTAAAAATAATTGAAAAGTTTAAGAATATTAAAAATATCTCATCGTTTAATTTTCTCTCGCTCCAATTAAATTTTCTTTTAATTTCGGGACATTACATTAGGATTATCCATTCCGGAATTGAACTGGGATCCAAATCTAACTTTGGTGCAATAAAACCTTTCATTTATTTAAAAAAATAATTATATATAATTAAAAAAAAAATATTAGGTAATATTAATAGAATCTATAAATTAGTTTCGAATAATAATAATCTTACAAGTATTTAGACTTTTGTTCATACGTCCAGTCAGAACCAGTTAGCTATGGTTTAACCTTAGAATCCCAAAGAGAGTCATCAATTTTCCGTGCGTGGAAATCTCCTCCTCCATTCACCGTGGTCTATGATCACTAGACTCAGCAACTGCGCAATAATAATTATAACATTAATATATTTATAGATAATTTCTTTCATAATATAGAAGCTTACCTTGTAAAATTTATATTTTTCGATGGTTGTTCCATTCCATCATAAAATATGGTACATTTTCAATAGATTTTGTTTATTTATTTCTAATTCTACTTCTAGATCCTTGAATTCTATGGTCTTATCATATATACGAGAATATAAAGAAACTTTAAGATTGCTAAATCTTTTATTTCCCATGTCATGAAAAATATAAAAAATCGAGTATTGGCCAGCAGGTCATTCTTCTAAGGATTACGCTTATTCTTTTTGCAAAAATCCCATTCAATAAGGGATACGTTTATTTTATTTATTTTATTTATTTTTTAAGTGATACTTTCTCCCATTAGACCAAGTTTTAATAAAATGTTCTTTGGTACATAATAAAATTAAATTAAATAAATAAATAAATTTACCCTTTGGAATATTTTTATATGTTGTTCTTTTTAATGTCTTTTTTGATGAAATGAAAATAAAAGAATTTAATTATTTAATTAAGAAAGAAAGAAATAATTAATAAAATAATAAATGGATAAATTACTTACTCGACCACCATCATTAAGTGAAAGAGGTGCAAAATGAAACCAAACAAGTGAAGGCGAAATGACTTTTAACGCGTCAATGGCTGGATGATAATTTGCTAAATCAATCATAACTTTTGAAAATTATTAAATTCTGAACCACTCTTTTCATTTACTCGGTGTATTGATATATAATACGTGCAGCTACATAAATAAATAAATAAATAATAATAATTATAATAAATAAATAATAATAATAATAATAAATAAATAATAATGAATAAATAAAATATAAACAACAAATAATAATATATAAGTCATTATGAGAAATATAATACGAATAACTCATCATCGAATAATTAGATGGTTCGATTTCGAGCATGAAATTCAAGCATTTGTTCCATATCCTTTCGAAGATCCAAAAATTGGATATTATTGAAGTTTTATATTTTATTTTCTTTCGCATAATTCTTTTGGGAATGGATGAAGATTTGAATATTAAAAATTATTCTCATCATCATCACTATTATTATTACTAATTATATATACTTACGGTGTAGATCAGGAATTTGTCATCATTGCTTTATATGTTTCACTATTTTAAATGCATTACTGAAAATCATTGAACAGAAGTTTGATACAAGATCATAACCTTCCAGACTTTGATTTAAAATTAAAGCATAAAGGTTAGTAGAATGTACATTATAAATGTTAACAACAATATTATACGATATTTTATTAAAAAAAAAATATTAAAAATGAAAATTATATGTTCATCCTTAAATTATTCCAAAGCAAAGTGTACAAAATTTAATTACATAAAAATGTTGTTGACAATTCAAATAGAGAGTTGTCACTTCTACAATAACCAATTATATAATCTTGCAATGAGATTATTGGGTTACTGGTTTAAGGTGGAAATATCGTTTCATTTGCTATATTTAATTAGAACTTAAAATATAACAAATTTAATTAAAAAGAATAAATAAATTTAAAATAATAAATAATAATAATTAAATAAATAAGTAAATAATAATAAAATCAAAAATAAATAATAATAAAAATACTCACAAAAAGATGCTCCAGCCCGAATAAATTCTCATATTTATTTTTTTTTTTAATAATTGTTAACCGTGAAGTAATAAACTTAAAGTAGTTTCTAATAAGAATTAAAAATATTGTTGATGTTCAATAAATCCCGAACAATTAATAATCTACCAATAAAAGATTTGAAAATTTAATGATAAAAAGTATTGTTTATGAATAAACTACATATATCTCATCCAGTATTTCGGGAATATCTTTAGAATTAGTAATTCCTCCTCCTTTTCCTCCCATACTCATCCGAAATTTTTTCAACCATTCCATCTTACATACTGTATATTTAGAATATAATATAATTTCTAAGTTAAATAAATATCTGGGACAAGATGTGACAAGCTCCGTGTACAATACTGCTGGGATGTGTATACTCTTATGCTGTGCCCTCCAAATATGATTGGTCAACCACCTTTTAGCAATAATCATAATTTATAAGGGCAAAAAAAAAGATACTGCTTTTACTGAAATCGCCGAAATCACCATCCCGAAAGGCAAATGTTTAATGGAAGAAGAGAGGGAGAAGCGAATGTAAGGGAGGAGGTAGAAGAGGCGAAAGAAATAGAAAGGGAGAGAGAAATTGGAGAAGCTTCCATTGTCAAAATCGCCGTCACAAAACACAGAAGCTTAATGGAAGAAAAAAGAAGCAAATGTAAGGGAGGAGGCAGAAGAGGTGGAAGAGATAGAAAAGGAGTGGAAATGGAGAAAAAAGAACTACTAAAATCGGTCACCAAAATCGACGATGCTGGAATTATCGAAATCGCTGACACAAAAGGCAGAAGTTTAATGGAAGAGGAGAGCAAAAAGAGAATAAGCAAAGAGATTTAATGAACGAAAATTTTGGAAGAGAAAAGGATAAAGCAATAGAAGGGAAAGAATGAAAAAAAGAATTTCTTTATTATGACGAAGTAGCAAGATATTGTATATCTTTGGCTCGAATGTTACAAAATCAATTGGCGAATATGCTGCTGTTGAAGAAAAAGTAGCATCATCCATTACAGAAATTTGTATTTATTTTATTTTCTTAATTATATTTATAATTCTGTGTTTTTTTTTTTTACTCCTTTAATCTAATTTTTTTTCCTAAAATCTTACCCCTCCTTTTAAAGTTACCTCGTGAAAACTTATTGAATGTTTACAACGAGGGTTCATAAATGTCATTACCGATATTGGTGTCAGTATTAATGAAGTTTTACATACAAGGAATAAAATGGATCTTCTTCAGTATGTAAATGGATTAGGCTCGTAAAGCTGAAGTTTTAATTAAAAGCATAGTTTCCGACGTAAGTTATTTGTAGTTTTCATTACTGTAAGTTATAATTTTATTGGTTTTCTTATTATTAACCATTTTCTTTTAAATCTTTAGGGAATTATGGAATCAGAAAGACGGAAGATTTAATAAAAAATGTGATAGTAGGAAAAATAGTTTACACAAATTGTGCCGGTTTTATTCGAGTTCGTCCTAAACGACCCGGTTCTTTTGATGACACCAGAATTCATATTTTCCACGTAAGATGGTTTGCGATGCACTTGATTTGGACAATGAGGAAGCCGAAGAAGAGATGTACAGTAATTGCCGTGTTGATATTCTTAAACGACTGATCTTATCTTTGATGACTATGCAAAAAGTCTTTCAAAATATTACGAATCTCCATCAAATCTTATTTTACATATAAGACAGAACTGACTAGATCTTTTGTCAATCCGCACCGAAATTTTGAAATACCAACTACTAATCAAGTATTTAAAATGGAAACGGGTAAAAATGATGTATCTTTATTCCCGGGACAAATTGTGACTGTACAAATAATGCGTGTTGTCGACTCATTGAACATCAAATAGATGGTGTTATTACCAGGTAACATTAATGACTATAGAATCACACCTCAGGATGTTCGATCACAGTTTTCAGTTGATCAACCATTAAAGTCAAAAATTTCATTGATTGATAACTAAATATTTTCTGCAAATCTTACCATTCGTCCAAGAGCCCTAAATAATAGCAGAATTTACAACCTAAACTAAAAAACTTGATGATGATTTCGATTATGAAGCTGAAGTAATACAGGTATCAAAGAAAGGTAAAATTTTTGATTATTAAAAAAGTTCTAATTGTAAAAAAAAACAGCAAAATTGACATGTTTATTTTTTATCCAGCTATTCCAGTTCACATTCCTATTTCAAGCCCGATTAGAATAATTCTTCACCCAATGTTCCATCAAATGACTTACTCAAAAGCAGTCCAATATCTTAAAGATAAAAGTAACGGATCTTATGTCGTTAAACCAACACCAAAAGGTTTTGGATATATAGCAATAACTTGTAAATTATTTGTAAATATATATCTTCATGTTTGTAAGTAGTTACTCGTGATTTTTTATTTAGATTTTTTACTTGGCAATATATTTTATATATAAGATTTTTTTTTACTTCCGTTTTAATATTAGATATTGTTGAAAAAGACAAAGCGGGAGTTTCAGTTGGTCTCAGATTGGAAGTTGAAGGTTGTAAATACATATATTCAGACTTGGGCGAACTTATTGTGCAATACGTTGAACCAAAAGCGAGAAGAGCAGAAGATCTAATGGCTCATGCAAAATTCAAATCATCGGTAGAAAATCTAAGTAATTTGATTTTTCTAAGAGAATTTTTTTTATTTATAATAAAATTTAATTATTTAATAATTATTTTATTGTATATCTTATTATTATATATTTTAGAGAGACAGTTTGGAAATGAATCCAAATCATTCCTCATATGGATTTTGCTTTGATTATGAAATGCCAGGTGGGTTCTTCCTCATGTTTAAAGTGAACCAATTTTTGAATATTAAAATTAGAAGGGATATAAAGATTGAGAATTGTAGAAACTAATAAGGATATTCATAGATGTTTACTGAACCTCATGTTTGTTTTTTTGCCCTAAAAAACATTCGTCCAGTCAGAACCAGTTAATTATGGTTTAATCTAAAGAGAGTCGTCATTTTTTCGTATGTGGAAATTGCCTCCTCCATCATGATCTACACAATTACATAATAATGATTATAACAATAACATTATTACATTTATAGATAATTTATTTTATAATATTTAAGCTTGCCTTTGAAAGCTTATATTTTTTCAATGGCAATTCCGTCCGATCGTAAGAAACACGACATTTCAATATATTTTATTTATATATTTCTACTTTCTTCTTCTAGATCCTTGAATTCAATTCTGCTCAATATGGAAGTTTTTTATTATGTACTAAAGAACATTTTATTTAAACTTAGTCTAGTGGGTGAAAGCATCGCCTAAATAAATTAAATTAATGCCTTCCTCGAAAGAAAGAAATAATAAAATAATAAATGAATAAAATATTTACTTAATCACCATCATTAACTGAAAGAGATGCAAAATGAAACCTGCAAGTGAAGGTAGACTGATTTCTAACATCAAACGCTTAACCACTATTTCTATTTTCATGGCGTATTGGTATATAATTCGTGTGGTCACATAAATAAATGAATAAACAATAATAATAATAAATAAATAATAACAATAATTAAACAATAAATAAATTAAGATTTCACGCATGAAATTCAAGTATTTGTCCATATCCTTTCGAAGCTTGATGTTTTGAATTATTATTATTTATTACCAATAATAATAAGTCTTAAACCACTTCCCTATTCCCGCTTTAAAATAAAAAAAAAAACTCTCAGTTAAGAGTTTACAAACTATACCAAAGTTGACCTTACATAGCCCACGTGAGACTTAGTTGCAGCGCTCCTGCAACCAAACCAGCAGAGTTAACCTTCTCATTTCAGAACAGAAATTCCATAACTTACTAAGAAAAAGCAAATTCCCCCGGGGATATAATATTTATTCACAATTTCTTAGTAAGAGATAGTAAACCCATTTCCTTAACAAGAAGGCAATGTAAGATGAGGAAAAAAATGAGATAGGGAAAAGGGGTATTTATATCTTTTTAGAAATTATGGGAAGCATCAGTCACGCTAGTTAGTCGTGATTAATGGTAACGTGAACGGATGATCCGAAGATGCATGTCAATCATAAATAAACTGGTTTATATTACTGATGATCAGTAATTATATTTTTATTTTTTATAAATTTAATTCGTATAAAATAAATTTTTCGAATCTTGCACTTTCTTGTGTTAAAACGTAGAAAATTTATATTTTGTAGCATGTTTTCATAATTGGTAAATTTCCACTTTATTATATCCGATTAGATAACATATGATAACTTTAATTAATCTTAACGGACATGACTTTATTATAGAGGTTTCGAGACAATATTTGAATATGGTGCAGCCCCAGGATATACTTGTTATTCAAAGAAATATATTTAAGAGCAATAGTTCTTTGAGGAATTTCAAAAGTGGCTTTATAAACATTTCCATTAAGCAACTTCACATTTTCAAATTCAGAATGGAATATTTTCTTTTTGAGTTCTATCTTCAATATTTAAATTGTCCTAAGTATCCAATTCTTTTTCGCTCATCTTTTTTCGTGACAAAATGATTACTGTTTTCTGTGAATAAATAAAGCAAATGAATTACGCTGCCGATTTATAATAAATAATAAAAGTAAAAGAAGTAAGGTACTTGAAGCTGGTCAGTGCAACAAGGAGAATGATAACAAAAATCAGAAATAATTGCAGAATAAAAAATTCACATAGCAATTCAGGACAAGTCAATACAAGTATGCATTTTTGTACTGTTCTTTTTATAATGTCTCCCATTAATGGATTCCTTTGTTTATAGATCTTGAATTCAATAATGATGAAATAGAAGGTGAAAATAGTAAGCAAGGAAGTGCCGAATTTGTAACAGAAAGGGCATAATTAACGTCTTGTACAAATAAAGCTAATTAAATATTTCATTTAAAAAAGTATTTTAAACTTTAAAATATTTTTCTTCAACATATTATATATGATTGATGTAATACGAAATTTTTATTAAATAATAAAAACGTTTACATGATAAAATTTTTAATTAACATCATATACAGCTTTATTAAATTGTACATTAAAGAAATAGTAAAAAAGATAATAATTACTTAAACGATTTAGTGTATTATAAATTAAATTTGACAAATGTTCCATTTAACTTGT